AAACTGAATCTAAAACCAGAGGAAATAATATATATTCCAGGACTCCAGATAAGAAGGATGGTGGTGGTTAAGCTGCAGGAACTTCATTAAATACTTCCTTCTGAGAATTGGTTGACATTTGCCACGCCATGTTATGCAATAACAATGGGTCTGCCCTCAACTATGCATGGTGGCAACCTGTGATTTTAAAACAAACAAACAAACAAAATGGGCAATGAGTAGTGCCCATAATGAATAATTGATTTGTCCGGAAGGGTGAAACCTGTTCAGATTTTAGTGGGTCAGAGCCACTTGGTTTGCTCCACAGGCTAGGCTATGCAAAAAATATTCTCTACTTTGATCTTTGCTCAAAATACCTGATAGTGAACTGAAGGCTAAAAGTATGAAATAGGTTAATGAAAACATGATGCTGATGCTTTGTTTATCCAATTCATCATTGTCTATTATGATTGGGAGTCAGAGGGACCTCATCATCATACTCGGCGGTGACCAAGGGAGCATTTGCACAGTTAAAACTTGTGCGCCAGCTGCGCCTGTACCTTGGGAAGTCTGACTTGGTCACGTTAGCCCACGGGTTACATCCCGTATATACTACTGCAACGTGCTCCACGTGGGGTTGCCTTTGAAGACTGTTCGGAAGCTTCAATTGGTCCAACGGATGGCAGCCAGATTACTAACAGGAGCGGCGCTCAGGGAGCATACAACTCCTCTGTTGCGCCAGCTCCACTGCCTGCCAGTTTGCTACCGGGCACAATTCAAAGTGCTAGCTTTAGCCTATAAAGCCCTAAACGGTTCTGGCCCAACTTACCTGTCCGAATGCATCTCCCCTTATGAACCATCTAGTACGTTAAGATCGTCTGGGGAGGTCCTGCTCTCGACTCGGTCTGTGTCACAAATATGTTTGGGGATGAGAGACAGGGCCTTCTCAGTGGTGGCCCCTTGGCTGTGGAGCGCCCTTCCCAGGGACATTAGATCAGCCCCCTCCCTTTTGACTTTCCGAAAAAAAGTCAAAACGTGGCTATTCGAGCAGGCGTTTGAAAAAGCAGTGTAACAGACATAGGATTATGGAACAATTGGACTATGAGATCGGATTATGTTTTTATCTAGGAGACTTTTTTTTTACTACTGTTATGGTTTTAATTGATATGTTAATGTAGTGTCGAAGGCTTTCATGGCTGGAATCACTAGGTTCTTGTAGGTTTTTTCAGGCTATAGGGCCATGTTCTAGAGGCATTTCTCCTGACGTTTCGCCTGCATCTATGGCAAGCATCCTCAGAGGTAGTGAGGTCTGTTGGAAATAGAAAAATGGATTTATATATCTGTGGAATGACTGGGGTGGGGCAAAGAGCTCTCTGCTGAAGCTAGGTGTGAATGTTTCAGCTGACCACCTTCATTAGCATTTGAAGGTCTGGCTGAGCCTGGGAAAATGTTCTGTTGAGAGGTGTTAAGATGTGCCTGGTTGTTTCCTCTCTGCTGTTTTGCTGTAGTAATTTTAGAGTTTTTTAATACTGGTATGTTAATGTTTTTAAATGTTCTAAATGTTTTTTATAGTGCTGTTGGCATTGAATTGTTGCCATGTGAACCGCCTCGAATCACCTATAGGCAGAGAGGGACGGTATACAAATGTAGCAAATAAATAAATAGAGCATGGATCCACTTTAAATCCAGTTTCTGCCTCCTGCAGGATTCTGAGGCTTGTAGTTTAGGGAGGAGCGTTTTAACTGCTCAGCCAGACAGGTCCTGGGCCTCACTAAACTACAAGCCCCAGAATTTTGCAGGAGGCAGAAACTGGATTTAAAGTGGATCCATGCTCTGGTGTGATAAAGCCATCAGAGCTTTAAGCTGAGGTCTCTTGCTAGTCTTGTTACTTGGTGTGTTTTGTTATTGGAGTTGATCCTATCTTTATGCTCTTTATGCGAGGCAAATTCTCTACAACAGAGCTATGGTAACTATCTTGAAAATGAGTCTTTTTTATCAGATACATTGGAGTGAATTTGAAGAATACATTCAGTTCCTAGAAAGATACAATCCAGGTGATATAAACATGCATAGAACAAATGCAATACAATACATGCCCAAGTACTCACGGCTTCATTTATCAATTTCTGACAAAATATCACCTCTCTGGCATTTTCTAGACTTGAAGGCACACAACAACAACAAACCTAATTACCTTGACTATCTCAACAACCAAAAGCAGGCCCACACTTCCAACTGAAATGCTGTTAGTTTATGCTGGTTAAAACTGTTCTTCATTTTAAATATTGTTTTGTTCTTTCATTTGTTTTCCATGACAAATAAGATATATTCAGTGTGCATGGGAATTTAGAATCATAGAATCATAGAATCAAAGAGTTGGAAGAGACCTCATGGGCCATCCAGTCCAACCCCCTGCCAAGAAGCAGGAACATTGCATTCAAATCACCCCTGACAGATGGCCATCCAGCCTCTGTTTAAAAGCTTCCAAAGAAGGAGCCTCCACCACACTCTGGGGTAGAGAGTTCCACTGCTGAACGGTTCTCACAGTCAGGAAGTTCTTCCTCATGTTCAGATGGAATCTCCTTTCGATTGTTTTGCGTCCTAGTCTCCAGTGAAGCAGAAAACAAGCTTGCTCCCTCCTCCCTGTGGCTTCCTCTCACATATTTATACATGGCTATCATATCTCCTCTCAGCCTTCTCTTCTTCAGGCTAAACATGTCCAGCTCCTTAAGCCACTCCTCATAGGACTTGTTCTCCAGACCCTTGATCATTTTAGTCGCCCTCCTCTGGACACATTCCAGCTTGTCAATATCTCTCTTGAATTGTGGTGCCCAGAATTGGACACAATATTCCAGGTGTGGTCTAACCAAAGCAGAATAGAGGGGTAGCATGACTTCCCTAGATCTAGACACTACGTTCCTATTGATGCAGGCCAAAATCCCATTGGCTTTTTTTGCCGCCACATCACATTATTGGCTCATGTTTAACTTGTTGTCCACGAGGACCCCAAGATCTTTTTCACACGTACTGCTCTCGAGCCAGGCATTGTCCCCCATTCTGAATCTTTGCATTTCGTTTTTCCTGCCAAATTTGTTCATTTCTTTTTCAAACTGTATCCCACCCACTCGCTCAACAGTCTGAGGGCCTATGAACTGCCCTCGGTTGAAAAAGATTGATGACCCATGTTCTAGATCTTCTGGCACAACTGTATGATATTCTCAAGCTGCAAGAATTGAAGGACTTGAGTTAAGAGCTAGCGCAAGAGTGCAGGCCTTTAGGGCTTCAAAGGAGCAACCTTTGAGCATTGTGCCTCCATGCTTCGTGCTCTTGTTTGCTTTGGGATATTGCTGCCTGCTTTACTCTTGTTCACTTTGAGGAACTGTGCAAGTACAACTGTACCAGGAGCTCCAATTTTGTTTGCTTTGAATTGAATGTTTGTTGTAGTCCCAAGTTTCAGGGACTCTGCAGATAGGTGGCTTCTTTTGGCTGCAATTATAGGGCAAGCCACCTGTCAATTATAGTTAGGTTCCCTGGTCCCACCCCCTTTTTGAGTTTTAGAGGGAATAGGAGCCATATTGAGTTCAGTCCACACAGAGAAGCCTTTCGCACAGGACATAAAACCAAGAGCTCCTGTAGAAAGCTTTGTCTTCTACAGCTTGGCTGGGGTTATACAGCCCACAGCTTGGCCGAGGATCATACAGCCTTACAGCTCCTTTGCAGAGGGACTTCAGCCAGCCATCACTGAAACCTGAATTCCTTCTTTTTCCCCTGGAGGTCTACAAAGCTCTGCTTGGTAAGGGTCACTCGCGGAAGCCAGAAGCAGTTGGTTCCGGGTGTAGGGCTCTACGCCAACAGAGGCAAAGACAGACTGCCCAGATTAGAAGTTAAGGATTTCCCCATTAGTTACAGTTAGGAAGATAGTGCCTGTTCCCTGTGGACAAGATTGAGAGAGAGCCAGTAGACTGTTTGTTTTAAAGCCTTAAAGTACCCGTTTGTTTTGATTAATAAAGAACTTTGTTGAAACTTTGAGCAATTCAAACAATCTGTTTTAAGGAAATCCAAGGGCCTTTAATCTGAGACAGCCCCGGCGTCCCATTGGGCACACAGAATTTATGTCCTGTCTACAGTCTTATGCACAGGCACAGCGTGCGACAGCACAGGAACTATGGATTAGTTGATATTGTGTGTTTTTTATTCCTGGTATGTTTGGCTTCATGAAGAGAGAGGGGGAAAGAGAACAAGGGAGGGAGGTTGGAATGAGTACAGTATGAAGGAAAGGGAAAAAAAACAATACAATATTTAAAATGGAGAACCATTTTAAAACATAAACTTAACAATATTTCAATGGAAGACCACAGGGGCCATTCAATCTAACCCCCTTCTGCCATGCAAGAAAAGCACATTCGAAGCATCTCCTGAGCGATGGCAGGGAAACAGGGTTTTGGAAACAAGGAATGTGTGGGGAAAATATCTGGGCAGCAAGGGACGTGGTGGGCAAAGGCTTTTGGGAACAAGAAGGCTGAGAGAAAAAGGTTTTCATTGTGAGGGGAAAAGGAGGGGGGAGAGAAGCAGAAAATAGGAGGGAAAGTTTGGAGGGAGAGGAGGAGAACCATGGTGCCCCTTAGTGTGCTTCATGGAGTCCCAAGGGCTTTGCGGAGCACACATTGAGAACCGCTGCTTTAGATTATCAGTGGCTTTTAACTTGTATTTTAACTCTGTGGATCTTTTAATAGCTTTATCTGTTGTTTTAATAATGTTGAATCCTGTCTCAAACCTCAGGGAGAGGCGAGTAATAAAATTATTATTATTATTATTATTAATAATAATAATAATAATAATAATAATTGTCTTGTTTAGGTCAATATAATTACTTTTGACCTCTTTTTATTTTTCTTGACTGTTGTTCCAAAAATCTGAGATTGAGACTGTCATGGCTAACTGGTTGTTCTATTTAGGCTAGCAATGAAAGGGCACAGAGAAGGTTTTGACACTTGTTGATTTTGCTGTCTTGACTTTTTCAGATCACAGCTGTCACCCAAAAAAGCAAGATGCTTAGAACCATGGAAGATTGCACTCATTGTTTTGGCCATTGTTTTTGTAGCAGCGATCATCGGCTTCCTATTATTTTTTTTGCAAAATGGTAAATATCATTTGTACTTTCAGATTATAAAGCTGCTTTCTTAACAGAAATCTGCTTCTATGTTATGAATGGACATGCTCCTCCCTACTATTTAATGACCCAGATGCCCATTCACACTGCCTAGTTTAAGCACTATGATTCCATAAAAACTGTTTTCTCTGTCTCTTGGGTTGTTGCTGAGTTTATTTACTCTTTATTCTTAAAGCCATTTTACAGCACTTTCTGAAGTTGCGTGTGCTAGGATTAGTTGATGACAATTTCCTCATTTTGGAGGAAAATAATCTATATAAATAAAAATGTAATGTTCGTTTGTGGGAATAACATAACTCAAAAACCACTGGATGAATTGACACCAAATTTGGCCCAATATAACTATCAGGCCAACGAGTGACCATCACTCATAAAAACACTGACAAACACAGCAGAAGAGACTTAAGGGAGAAGAGTAGAGAAAGAGGGAGGGAAGGAGAAGAAAAGAGAGAAGGAAAGAAAAGAGAAGAAAAAAGAAAAAAGAGGTAGAGAAGGAAGAAATGAGAGAAAGAAGGAGGAAAAGAAAAAGGGGAAAGAAGGAATGAGAGAAGGAAGGAAGGAGAGAAGGAAAGAAAAAGGGAATGAAGGAAGGAAAGAGGGAGTGAAGGAAGGGGGAAGATGTAGAGAAAGAGGGAGGGAAGGAAAGAAGGAAAGAAAGAAGGAAGAAAAGAGACCAGAAGAGAAAGAAAAAGGGGGAAGGAAGGAAAGAGATAGAGAAGGAAGAGAAGAAGGAAAGATGGGAGGAAAGGAAGGAAGGAAAGAGAGAAGGAAAGAAAAAAGGGAATGAAGGAAGGAAAGAGGGAGTGAAGGAAGGGGGAAGATGTAGAGAAAGAGGGAAGGAAGGAAAGAAGGAAAGAGAGAAGGAAGAAAAGAGACCAGAAGAGAAAGAAAAAGGGGGAAGAAGGAAAGAGATAGAGAAGGAAGAGGAGAAGGAAAGATGGGAGTGAAGGAAGGAGGGAGGGAAAGAAGGAGAGAAAGAGGGAAGGTTGGCCACAGCAACACGTGGTGGGTAAAGGTTGTTATTTCTATGATTATTATGATGCTATTATTCCTATGAGACCCTTTTAGGGGGAATGGGAGAGGTGTCAGGTCCCAGAGGCAATGCATTGCATTATTGTTATTGTTATGATGGTGGTGAAATAAAAGGAAATAAAAAGTGAAAGAAGGAAGCAAACAGGGAGGGAAGAAAGGCAAAGGAAGAAAGGGGGAGGGAATGAAGGAAAGAGAGAAGGATGAAACCAAGTAGTGAAAGAAGGAAAGAAAGAAAGAGGTAGAGAAGGAAGAAAGGAGAGAAAGGGTGAGGAAAAGGGGGAAGGAATAGGTAGGTACCTCTCTTTCATAATAGTCCAGATAACTACCTCAACTTTGATAAGTTTTACTATAGGCCACAGCAACGCGTGGCAGGGCACAGCTAGTATCAATATAAAAATAGATACCAATAAATTTACATTACTTGACGCATCAGTAGATTAAATGTTTTTTAATATTTACATAAAACTGTAATTTAAGATAAGACTGTCTAAATCCGATTAAACCATTATTCTAACCTTCTTCAAGGTATCCTTCTAATAATAATAATAATAATAATAATAATAATAATAATAATAATAAAGAGAGTAAAATAATAATAATAATAATAATAATAGAGTAAATAGTGGAAATGTAATAATAACAGTATTAATAGAGTAAAATAATAAATGTAATAAAATAATAATAAAAATAATGTAAATGTAATAATACTAATAATAATAGAATAAAATAATGTAAATGTAATAATAAATAGAGTAAAATAATGAATGTAATAAAATAATAAAAATAACAGAGTAAAATAATAAATAACCTTGACTCGAATATAAGCCAAGGGGAGCTTTTTCAACTTAAAAAGGGGCTGAAAAACTAGGCTTATACTCGAGTATATACAGTACTTTCAGATATTTTTAAATGGCAGTCATATTGTTCCTCTAGTCCATGAGTTCTCAATATTTTAAAGCAGATGGCCAGTTCACAGTCCGGCAGATTGTTGCGTTGGGTGGGGTGGGGGGAGTCTATAGTTTGAAAGAACCATGAACAAATTCTTCTGCACACTGGATATATTTTATTTGGAATGCAAAAAGATGGAAGAAGAATACGAAGTTTAAAATGAAGGACAATTTTAACCAACATAAACTTATCAGTATTTCAATGGGAAGTGTGAGCCTACTTTTGACTGGTGAGATAGTCAAGTTAGTTAGGATTGTTGTGTTGTGTGCCTTCAAGTCCTTTCAGACTCAGAGCAAACCTAAGTCTAAAGTTTAGGGCGGAGGCTTGGGAAATAGAATCATAGAATCAAAGAGTTGGAAGAGACCTCATGGGCCATCCAGTCCAACTCTATTCTGCCAAGAAGCAGGAAATGATGTTGGAGGGCCACATCCGGCCCATGGACCTTAGTTTTGGGGCTCCTGTCTAGTCCTTTCTTCTCCAAGCTACAGGTATTTCTTCTAGCACTTTGTTCCCTGATCTTTTTGGCTGCTCTCCTCTGAACATAAACAAGATTGTCAATGTCTTTCTTGAGAGCCATGGCAACACAATGGGTTAAACCCTTGTGCCGGCTGGACTGCAGATCTGAAGGCTGGGTTGCTGACCTGAAGGTTGCCAGTTTGAATCCGCGAGATGGGGTGAGCTCCCGTCTGTCAGCTCTGGCTTGGGGGGACATGAGAGAAGCCTCCCAGCAGGATGGTAACACATCCAGACATCCCCTGGGCAATGTCTCTGTAGACGGCCAATTCTCGCACACCAGAAGCAACTTGCAATATGTTCTCAAGTCGCTTCTGAAACAATAAAAAATATTGAGCCCAGAATTGAACACAGTTTTTGGGAGGAGGCTGCCTAAAGCTGAATAGTGAGGCTGTTGCTAACCTTGATCTGAATGCTCAACTTCTGCTGTTGCAGCCTAAAAGCAAATTGGCAATTGTGGCCACCACATCACATATTTATTATGGCTCAGGAATTCATAGGTTAGAATACAAGAGATACTTTGGAACTGTGGAATCGTGTTTATTGTTCTGGAATTGCCTGTCTTGGAATAAAAAGCAAGTTTTTCAAAATTATGAAGATGCATTACCAGAAAACAATGTGACAGCATCGGCCGAAATAACTAGAGTAATATTGAAGGAAGTTAGTGGTACTGGGCATTCATTTCATATTCTAGAGTAGGGGTCCTCAAACTAAGGCCCGAGGACCAGATACGGCCCTCCAAGGTCATTTACCTGGCCCTCACTCAGAGTCAACCTAAGTCTGAAATGGCTTGAAAGTACACAAAAACAACAACAATAACAATCCTAGGTTCTTGTGGGTTTTTTCGGGCTATAGAGCCATGTTCTAGAGGCATTTCTCCTGACGTTTCGCCTGCATCTATGGCAAGCATCCTCTGAGGATGCTTGCCATAGATGCAGGCGAAACGTCAGGAGAAATGCCTCTAGAACATGGCTCTATAGCCCGAAAAAACCCACAAGAACCTAGTGATTCCAGCCATGAAAGCCTTCGACAATACATAATAACAATCCTATCTAATCAGCCAAAAGCAGGCTCACACTTTCCATTGAAATATTAATAAGTTTATATTTGTTAAAACTGTTCTTCATTTTAATTAATGTATTGTTTTAAAGTGTTTTTTGCACTACAAATAAGATATGTGCAGTGTCTATAGGAATTCATTCAAGTTGTTTTCAAATTATAATCCGGCCCTCCAACAGTTTGAAGAATTGTGACCTGGCCGTCTGTTTAAAAAGTTTGAGGACCCCAGTTCTAGAGTTTAAAGTCACAATGTTGTTGTTCATTCGTTCAGTCGTCTCTGTGACCTCATGGACCAGCCCACGCCAGAGCTCCCTGTCGGCCGTCACCACCCCCAGCTCCTTCAAGGTCAGTCCAGTCACTTCAAGGATGCCATCCATCCATCTTGCCCTTGGTCGGCCCCTCTTCCTTTTACCTTCCACTTTCCCCAGCATAATTGTCTTCTCGAGGCTTTGCTGTCTCCTCATGATGTGGCCAAAGTACTTCAACTTTTATTGTATAGGGGGGCTGAGTTTTTTTCAGTGGGGGTTTTGGGGGGGCTGAGTTTCGGGGGGGGGTGGCTGAGTCTGAGTGAAAGAGGGTCTACCCTAGCAAACCTTTTGTATCATTACCCCAATACCCCCATGCATATGGGATATATTGAGTATGGTGATCAGATCATAATATGAATAAACATAACAGTTTAAGTAATGCACCAGTAAGACCTTTTCGCGAACCACCATGAGAATTTCGGGGGGGGGGCTGAAGCCCCCCGAGCCCCCCCCCCCCCGGCTACATGCCTGGATGTGGCCAAAGTACTTCAACTTTGTCTCTAGTATCCTTCCCTCCAATGAGCAGCTGGGCTTTATTTCCTGGGGGATGGACTGGTTGGATCTTCTCGCAATCCAAGGCACTCTCAGAACTTTCCTCCAACACCACAGCTCAAAAGCATCTATCTTCCTTCGCTCAGCCTTCCCTAAGGTCCAGCTCTCACATCCGTAGGTTACTACAGGGAATACCATGGCTTTGACTATGCGGATCTTTGTTGCCAGTGTGATGTCTCTACTCTTTACTATTTTATCGAGATTGGACATTGCTCTCCTCCCAAGAAGTAAGCGTCTTCTGATTTCCTGGCCACAGTCTGCATCTGCAGTAATCTTTGCACCTAGAAATACAAAGTCTGTCACGGCCTCCACATTTTCTCCCTCTATTTTCCAGTTGTCAATCATTCTTATTGCCATGATCTTGGTTTTTTTTTATGTTTAGCTGCAACCCAGCTTTTGCGCTTTCTTCTTTCACCTTGATTAGAAGGCTCCTCAGCTCCTCCTCGCTTTCGAAAGCTACAGTATCTGGAAACAAGTCTTACTGAACTCAACTGGATGTCTAAGCAAACATGTATAGGATTGTATTTTAATTCATTCCAAAAGTTGGTTAGGAATTCAGTTTCCCCAGAAAATTATCTGTTTTGCTTTTATATCAAAATTAGGCTAATAGGAGAGGTGGGGGGACTCAATATTTCTCCACCTTTGCTTTACCATGTCTAGATCCTTCAACCCATTTTTTTATCAGCCCAAGACTAATACTAGAAGTGATCTGTAAAATGCAGGTATCTTAATCCAACCAAATGTAATAGGGTAAGATGGAGAAGGAGTTAGTAAAGACCTCAATAGGACCGGTAACCCATCTGCTTTGGAAGCAAGGGATTCATTCAATAAGATACAAGTATGTATCACATTGAGGAGCCCCCGGTGGTGCAGTGGGTTAAAGCACTGAGCTGCTGAGCTTGTTGATCGAAAGGTCGCAGGTTCGATTCCGGGGAGCGGCGTGAGCTTCCGCTGTCAGCCCTAGCTTCTGCCAACCTAGCAGTTTGAAAACATGCAAATGTGAGTAGATCAATAGGTACCGCTCCGGCGGGAAGGTAACGGTGCTCCATGCAGTCATGCCGGCCACATGACCTTGGAGGTGTCTACGGACAACGCTGGCTCTTTGGCTTAGAAATGGAGATGAGCACCATACCCCAGAGTCAGGCATGACTGGACTTAATGTCAGGGGACCACCTTTACCTTTTTATGTATCACATTTGGCTCTCAGATCCTCTTGTATGATAAAAGTGCAGGATGTCTGGTCACTTATTATTCCTTTGTTGCCCTGTAAAAAATATGTAATGCTGACATAACATAAAACTTTATTTTTCTTTTCTTTTACAGATCAAAGGATGTTCTACTACAATGGCAACTTCAAAGTCGGTGGTGTCCAATACAATAATGCTTTAGCAAGACAGTCCTCAGATGACTTCAGAGATGTAGGAATTTGGATTGAAAAACTGGTAAGCCTGTGGATTTTTATCTCTCTAGAACCAGAAATGACATATTTTTGTTTTTCCTCAGTAATTTCTTGTTATGCTATTTGCCTCCTGCTGACATATATCACCAACTTCTGGGTTTGTGTGTAAAGTGAGATCAGGCAGGAATTGTCAGGACAGGGGTAAAGGCTAGAGCTCTTTTTATTAATTATTGATTTGTTTATATGGGGGAAATTTTAAATGATATATTTGGAATACTTCTAGCAAAAGATCGTGACAGTTCACATGTGCCTGCAAATTTGCTATCGAAAAAACTTGATGTTACACCTATCTCTCTGGTTTGCTCCTGACACAATAAATAAATAACCTATCTCTCTGTTTACTAATAATTTAATAATTGGTGCAATCCTTATCTTTAAGCATGTAAGAACTTCTAACAATTACGTTGCAATTCAACTGTCATGTAGAATGTTGTTGTTTAGAAACTGCATGAATCTATATAAATAAAAGTGTAATGTTCATTTGTGGCATTAACATAATTCAAAAACCAGCGGGCGAATTGACACCAAATTTGGACACAATACACCTCTCAGGCCAACGTGACCATCACTCAAAAAATTGATTTTGTCACTTAGGAGTTGTAGTTGCTGGGATTTATACTTCACCTATAATCAAAGAGCATTCTGAACTCCACCAATGATGGAATTGAACCAAACATGGCACAATAAACTCCCTTGACCAACAGAAAACACTAGAAGGGTTTGGTGGGCATTGACCTTGAGTTTGGGAGTTGTAGTTCACCTCCATCCAGAGAGCACTGTGGACTCAAACAATGATGGATCTGGACCAAACGTGGCACGGATATTCCATATACTCAAATATGAACACAGATGGAGTTTAGGAGGAATAGACCTTGACATTTGTAAGTTGGAGTTACTGGGATTTATAGTTCACCTACAATCAAAAAGCATGTTGAACCCCACGAATGACAGAATTGGGCCAAACTTCCCACTCAGAACCGCCATGACCAACAGAAAATACTTAAGGTCATCCAGTCCAACTCCATCAGGGCAAGAAAATGTAATCAAAGCCCTCCTGACAAAGAGCCATCCAGCCATAGATATAGATAGATATATATGATTCACACACAGAGAGAGATATAGTATCTTAGATGTGAAAGAGACCCCTAAAGAAGGACAATTGTATGTTGCCTGTTCCAGAGTAGACAAACCAAATAATCTCCACATCAACACTGACAAAGAAACAACAAGTACTGTTTACCCACAAGCATAACGAAATTACATATATTAGAATCCAACACTTCCACATTACTTTATTTTCCAGATCACCAGACTGGGCCACAGCAACACGTGGCAAGGCGACGGCTAGTCTATCTATATAAATAAAAATGTAATGTTCGTTTGTGGGATTAACATAACTCAAAAACCACTAGGCAAATCGACACCAAATGTGGACACCATACACCTATCAGGCCAACAAGCGGCTGTCATTCATAAAAACACCGAATGACACAGCGGAAGGGACTTAAAAAGCCAAAAAATAAAACTTACATTACAACGCATGCGCAAAACCACATATATACGCAAACACACATATATACACATATACACAAATATATATACACACAGAAAGCACATATACACAGACTGGGCCACAGCAGTGTGTGGCAGGGGATGGCTAATTTGTAATATATTTATTTGTGATGAATCAGAACAATTCTTTATTGATTTCAGACTTTAATTGTATTATGTAAGTGATGTATAATAACCAGGGCATCATCTTTGACTTTGCAGACATCTTTAGTAAAGACAGATAAACAAGTGTTCAATATACAGTTTTACAAACATTTCTCATTCAGTTTATTCGGGTTCTAAAACATCTTTTTGATCTTGGTTCCACCCCTTATTTTACAAGGTTGTGGAAAGACATACAGAACAGGTCATTTGGGATGAAGTGTGTTCAGTTTCTATTACAGTAATTACATCTTATCTTTGCATAAATTCTTTCATCTTGCTCTTCCGTGTGGAAGAGCTTAATCTTTGCTCAGAGAGAACGTTTGCCACCTTGCTTTGAAGGAACATAATCTAGAGTAGAAATTGTATGTGTTTTCTCCAAATAAAAAACCCCTTTGGTTTAAATCAAAAAGCTAAGGTTGAAGATATCTATATATATAAAAATGCTTTGTGCATAATGAGTACCTTAAAAACAAAAGAACCAATGAATGAAATCACACCAAATTTGGCAACATTGCCCTCTTTGCTCTTAAAATTAGCTTTTCCTTCACCTTGCATATGGTTGCAGCAGATAATGGATTTGCAGTCCTCACAGAGAGGACAGCCCATGTTTTGAATAATTTGTTGATCCTGAGCAATAATCATAGATGATCTGAAGCAGAAGCTGCCCTCAGTTTTTCCCTAAATGGTGGCCAAATTGTAGTCTTTCTGGCTCAAAGATGACACTTCTGGCTGCAGACTTATGTCTACTTACATAGAAGTAAATCCCATAGAATCTATTTGCACTCCCGAGTCAACATGCATGAGATTGAGCACTATTATAAAATACTAGCTGTCTCCTGCCACGCTTTGCTGTGGCCCAGTCTGTTGATCTGGAAAATAAAGTAATGAGATAGTGTTGGTTTCTAATATATGTAATTTCTTTATGCTTGTGGGTGAACAGTATTTCTTGCTGTTTCTTTGTCAGTGTTGATGTGGAGATTGTCTGGTTTGCCCACCCTGGAACATGCAACATATCATTGTCCTTCTTTAGGGGTCCCTTTCAAATCTATGATACTATATCTCTCTGTTTGTGAATCCTATCTATCTATATCTATGGCTGGATGGCTCTTTGTCAGGAGGACTTTGATTACATTTTCTTGCCCTGATGAAGGAAATTGGATTGGATGGCCTTAAGTATTTTCTGTTGTTCATGAGGTGTTCTGTGTACGAAGTTTGCCCCAATTCTGTCGTTCGTGGTGTTTAGAATGCCCTTTGGTTTTAGGTGGACTGTGAATCCCAGTGACTACAACTCCCAAATGTCAAGGTCTATTTCCCCCAAACTCCATCTGTGCATATTTGGGCATATTGAGTGCTTGTTCCAAGTTTGGTCCGGATCCATCATTGTTTGAGTCCACAGTTCTCTCTGGATGTAGATGAACTACAACTCCCAAACTCAAGGTCAATGTCCACCAAAGCCTTCCAATATTTTGTGTTGGTCATGGGAGTTCTGTGTGCCAAGTTTGGTTCAATTCCATCGTTGATAGAGTTCAGAATGTTCTTTGATTGTAGGTGAACTATAAATCCCATCAACTACAACTTCCAAATGACAAAATCATAATTTTTGAGTGATGGTCACTCCTTGTGTTGTGAGACGTTTTGCTGCCAAATTTGGTGTGAGTTCTGTGTGCCAAGTTTGGTTCAATTCCATCGTTGATAGAGTTCAGAATGCTCTTTGATTGTAGGTGAACTATAAATCCCATCAACTACAACTTCCAAATGACAAAGTCATAATTTTTTGAGTGATGGTCACTCCTTGTGTTGTGAGACGTTTTGTTGCCAAATTTGGTGTGATTTCGTTCATTGGTTCTTTTGTTTTTAAGGTACTCATTATGCACAGAGCATTTATATATATATAGATTCAGTGATTTAATCTTTTTGCTCCAGTTTCAGCTGCAGTAGAGTTTCCTATAAATTACTGTTAAACAATTGATAAATTAGATACCATTGTTTTACAGCATGGCACAATCTGAAATGGAAAACGGATTTTGTCTCTGTGTGGTCTGATGTCATCCCAAAGCTCATTTAAATCCTGCTCTGTTTTTGAAACAAAATGATTTAGATATATTATCAGTGTGGTTAAATCAGCAATGGCTTGAGCAGGAAGCTTGAAGTTTTGATCTATACAGAATGAATTCTTTTGGGAGCATCACAGGAAGGCATACTTCCTCTTGGCAAACTTCTCCTGTGAAACACTAAGTGTAAATAATACTTTTGACTTTGTAATCATGCCAGAGATATGCAGGAATGGCAGCATTCTTGCCAGAAATACATAACATAGCCGTACCAATCAGCTTCCATAGCCTTACTGGAAAATCTGGAAAGCATGGTTCTAAGGTGGAGCAGAGAGGAGAAGGAGCCAATGATGAAAATTTCCAGTTTCCTAATCATTAACCATCTCTAAGGATAACAACGCCAGTTTCATCACCTTCCTAGCATTGAAGCTGGTATTTTCTTTGGGGCATATCACCCATAAGTGCCAATGAAAAGCAATATTAAAGCAGAACAAGCAGCATTCTGGGTGGGTAAATCCTGTAGTTCCTTTCTGTCTTTGAGGCCAGGGCAGTAACAATGTCTGAGAAAGAATATATGTGTGTAGAACCCCGGGTTACATATGTATATATTAGGGCTGGGCAACCACGGAAAAATTTGTTTCTAAACTCGATTCGTTTTTTGGGGTTTTTTGTGTTTCGATATTTAAAAGAATTCCGAAATTTTTCTTTAAAAAAGTTCGATATTTACGAAATTTCGTAAATTACAAAACAATTACGAAATGATTTCGAAACAAATACGAATCGATTCATTAATGGCGGACGCGACCGCGCAATACGCTAAAAAACCTCCAAATGGGACAGGGGGAACTTTTGAAGCTTCCCTCTCCCTCTGTTGTTGACTGTTGGTGTGATATTTAGAATTTTTTTTCACTGATTTAACAAACAACAGCTATAAAACTTGCCCCAGACATGCGGAAATAATAACGAAACGATTTCGAAACGATTTCGAAACGAATACGAAGCAATTACGAAACGAATTGAAAAATTCGTTTCGTTTTTTAGATGCTCCTGAATGGTTCAAAATCGCTTCATTATAAAAAAAATAACGAATTTTTAACGAATTACAAAATTACGAAACGAAACCGCCCAGCCCTAGTATATATCACTAGCAGTTCATCTACATCAGGGGTCCTCAAACTTTTTAAACAGAGGACCAGATCACAGTCCCTCAAACTGT